ATGTCCTGCTTGGAAGCCTTTTTTCGCTCCAGCTCGTCCTTGAAGTCACGAATATCTGACTCAATGTCTTCTGGGTTCATGCTAAGAAGCTTCTTCTCGAAATTCTGGTGGCGTTCCTTTTTCACCTTCTCTAACCGACGTTTCTTTGCTTGCTTTCGTATGGCATCTGCCGGGTGCATAATCTTCTTACCAGCAGCATCGTGCATAACATTTTTCTTGTTCTTCCCCATGAGTCGATAGTCGCCCTAACACTAAAATACAGGCGAAACTGAAATCATTTGCTTGAGCCCCACAGGCTACAGATTGGCGGACATTCTCTGACGGAGGGTGGTTGATGATAAACGCAGCAAAGTTCATCCCCAACCAAGGGGGCCGGCTTCTACGAAATCCATGAAGTGCAGACCTAAGAACACGCGTACGCATGGCGACGCTACCGCAAGAAAGGGAGAACTTGAACAATCGTCGGAAAAAGGTGTACGGGGGGGCGGGCGGACCGAATGGATTCATATTCTCCACTGGCGCGTGCAGATCGGGATAACCTCAGAGCTTGACAGGGAATTAGTAGACACTCGTCGCATCGCCCTCCAATAGCCCAGTGAGCGCAGGAAACAAAAACACAATTGCAAATGCATTGTGCTGTATCGCGTCGTCGTGTCTGATTCTCCACCCGATCCGCGACCAGCACAACTTCCGTAACCTCCGCAAGACATGCTACCATTTGACTGCGTACCGATTCTGCCGATTCAGCCCTCGAGCAACATCTTGGGCCAAAACGGGGCTTCGGCACCACGAACTGAAGACTCCAGTGGAGCTCCAGCTAGATCAGATGAGCCAAGCCATCTGGAATGCGACTCCTGCCTGGTGTCACTTTTGTTTTTCTGCCTTGAAGAGCACACATCGGCTCTCGCATCCTGTTTCTCAAGAGAAGTCTTGATTGTGAAATTGTGTTGTTGCCCCCCTCAGAAAATGTGTCGTTGCCCCCCCCAGGCTATGACAACAGTGGCTCCCATCTGAAATTTCCTCACAAGTCAGCCGAAATCGCTGTCTCACTCTAGACTTCCTTCTAGTCTACTGAAGAGTCCCTCTTCTGGCTAGTCCTATTTCACAATTAGCTCAGGATCGCGCTCTCGCACTTCAGAAATCGCGCTCTCGCCTAGGACACCCTTCCGATGTATTCACGAGTCGCGCTCTCGCCACTCAGGGCTCGTGATCTCGCCTGGGACTTGCTCGCCCGCCTCCCTGGTTTACTGTTCTGCCCGCCCGACAAATCGGCCCAGTGGATTCGTGTGCGAACCGCACCCCCAGGGGCTCTGGGCCCGCACGCTCGCTTGCTGGGACACGCGCCCGCCAGCGGCAACGCCCCGTCCGCCCGACCCGCCCGTCCCGCCCGTCAGAACCCGTCCGCCGACCCGCCCGCGAAGGTTAGCCCGTCCGGCCCGCGAACTAATGTCTGCCCGACCGACCGTCAGGGTCCGCCCTCCCGCCCCGCCCGCTCCATGCCCCGCCTGCCCGACCCGTTCGCCTGGGCCCGCCCGTTCGTCTGCTTGGACGCCCACCCGCCTGCTTCGATGTCCCGCCCGGCCGACGCACTCACTAGTGCCCGCCCGCCGACCTGGCCTTTAGGGTCCGTCCGACGGAACCTCCTGTGAGGGCCCGCGAACGGACCCGTCCGCCCGAACCTCCCGTGAGGGCCCGTCTGCACGAGCCGCCCAGTCAGGGCACGCCTGTTCGCTTGCCTGGAGCCGGCCCGCCCGTTTTGAAGGTCCCGCCCGCCCGGCCCGCCCGTTGGGGCTCGCCGGCCCATCTCGCCCGGAAGTCCGCCCGCCCGCCCCGCTGGTCAGAGTCCGCCCGCCAACCCAGCATGTCTCACCCTGTCGGGGTGTACACATCCCAACGGAGACCCCCTGAATGGGTAGTCTCGAAGACAAGTGGGCGGGCATCGAGGGCTTGGGGTATACATACTGCATGGCGCACGAGCAAACAAGAGCTAACTGTGGTGAAAAACATGTTGTTGTCGCTTGGTTGGGATCGAGTCTCGTACGAAAACCGCAGCTTCACTATTCGCCCCATGGTCGGGATCGCAACCGAACGTCTGCCTGCTGGGATGGCCATCCGAATACCGAGGGCAGATCGACCAGGGGCATGTCGACCAGTGAGCTGCGACAGCAGGGACTATATCTTCTCGCTGTGCAGGCCCTGTGCAAGGCACGTTTAACTCGCCCAAGAAGCGATTTCTGTCGGGCAGGTTGTCAGGTGATACATCGGGCCACGGCACACGGGAGTCAAATGAAGGAGCTGACGCGGCCGTCTAGGATTTGGACGTTGAGAATGATGAGGAGTGGGAAGAGGAGGAGAAGCAGGGGACATCAGGGGACATCTGCCCACAGAGGCCCCGCTTGTCCAGCTGCCCACCTGGGCTGCCGCTGGTCTCGCTCTGCCAACATCTTTCGCCCAGCTGCAGCAGCGACTAGCTGCACACCACAGGCATCAGAGGTAGAGGCCTCCCATACGGCGTCAGAGAAGATTGGGTCGGAAGATCGCGACGCATCGCCGATGCATCGCTGATGCATCCGCGATGCATCGGCGACGTCGGCACGGAGAAATCGGGCCCCACATCCAGCAGCATCACCGAGGCATCGGCGATGCAGCACAGTCCTCCGACTCCATCTGCTCGGACCCCAACTGGGAGGCTTAGATGGTGGAAGGATGGTGGACGAGAGAGAGAGAGAGAGAGATGGAGAAACCACAAGGTACAGATGCCGCTACTCCCTGGACCTCTCCTGGGGTGCGTTCTGGCCAGGATCTCGGGGCGAATCCAGTGGTGGCGACGGTGCCTCCCAGGAGGCCCCCAAATAGCGGGAAAGAGAAACGAGGGTAGCGGTTTGGGTGACCTCGTCTCTTAAGGGAGGGGTGTGTGTGCGGTGTGTTGTGCGTTGTGTGAGTTGTGTGTGGTGTGTGCGTCGTGTGTCGTGTGTCGTGTGCTGTTTATTGTGCGTTGCGTGTTGTGTGTTGTGTGTTATGTGTTGTGTGTTGTCTGGTGTGTTGCGTGTTGTGTGCTGTGTGTTGCGTGTTGCGTGGTGTGTTGTGTGCTGTGTGTTGTGTAATGTGTGTTGTGTGTTGTGTGTTGTGTGTTGCGTGTTGCGTGTTGTGTGTTGTGTGTTGTGTGTTGTGTTGTGATGTGTGATGTGTGGTGTTGTGCTGTGTGATGTGTGTTGTGGGTTGTGGGTTGCGTGTTATGGTGTGTTGTGTTGCGTTGTGTTGTGGTGTGCTGTGGTGTGTCGCGTTGTGTTGTGTTGTGATGTGTTGTGTTGTGTTGTGTTGTGTTGTGGTGTGGTGTGGTGTGGTGTGGTGTGTTGTGGTGTGTGTTTGCGTGTGTTGTGTGTGGTGTGTGATGTGTGTCGGTTGAGCCTGTTGCGTGTATGATGCGTGTCTGTTGCGTGTCTATTGTGTGGCTGTCGTGGTGTGTCGTGTGTGATGTGTGTGCAGTGGGTGCTGCATGTGTGCTGTGAGTGCTGTGTGTGGTGCGGTGTGTGTGGTGTGTGCGGTGTGTATGGTTTGTGTGTTGTGTGGTGTATGTGGTGTGTGGTGCGTGTGGTGTACGTGTGTGCGTGTGTGCGTGCGTGCGTGTGTGCGTGCGTGCGTGCGTGAGTGCGTGCGTGCGTGCACGCGTGCGTGCGTGCGTGCGTGGGTGTGTGGGTGTGTGCACGTGTGCGTGTGTGAGTGCGTGAGCGCGTGCGTGCGTGCGTGCGTGCATGCGTGCGTGTGCGTGTGTATGTGTATGTGACAGTATGTGTGTATGTGTGCATGTGTGTGCGTGTGTATGCGTGTGCGCGCGTGCGGGCGTGCGTGCGTGCGTGCGTGCGTGTGTGAAAATGTGCGTGTGTGCGTGTGTGCCTGTGTGTACCTGTGTGCGTGTGCGTGTATGTGTATGTGTGTGGGTGGGTACGTGCGTGTGTGTGTGTGTGTGTGCGTTCGCGTGCGTGCGTGGGTCCGTGCGTGCAGGGGTGCGTGCGCGCGTGCGTGCGTGCATGCGTGCGTGGGTTCGCGCGGGCGGGCGGGCGGGCGGGCGGGTGGGCGGGTAGGCGGGCGCGCGCGCGTGCGTAAGTGCGTGCGTGTGTGCGTGCGTGCGTGCGCGCGCGCGTGCGGGCGGGCGTGCGTCCTTGCGTCCGTGCGTCTGTGCGTCTGTGCGCCTGTGTGACTGTGTGCCTGTGTGCCTGTGCGTCTGCGTGTATGTGTATCTGCGTGTCTGCGTGTCTGTGTGTTGATGTGTCTGTGTGTCTGTGCGCATGTGCGTGTGTGAGTCTGTGCGTCTGTGCGTCTGTGCGCCTGTCCATCTGTGTGTCTGTGTGTCTGTGTCCGTGCGCCTGTGTGGCTGTGTGCCTGTTCGGCTGTGAGTCTGTATGTCTGTGTGTCTGTGCGTCTGTGCGTCTGTGCGTCTGTGCGCCTGTGCGTCCTTGCGTCCGTGCGTCTGTGCGCCTGTGACTGTGTGCCTGTGTGCCTGTGTGCCTGTGCGTCTGTGTGTCTGCGCATGTGTGTGTCCGTGTGTCTGTGTGTCTGTGTGTCTGTGCGTCTGTGTGCCTGTGCGTCTGTGAGTCTGTGCGTCTGTGCGCCTGCGCGTCTGTGTGTCTGTGTGTCTGCGTGTATGTGTGGCTGTGAGTCTGTGTGCCTGCTCGGCTGTGAGTCTGTATGTCTGTGAGCCTGTATGTCTGTGTCCTGCATGTCTGTGTGTCTGTGCGTCTGTGCGCCTGTGTGTCCTTGCGTCCGTGCGCCTGTGCGTCTGTGCGCCTGTGTGACTGTGTGCCTGTGTGCCTGTGCGTCTGTGTGTCGGTGTAGCTGCGTGTCTGCGTGTCTGTGTGTCTGTGTGTCTGTGTGTCTGTGCGTCTGTGTGCCTGTGCGTCTGCGAATATGTGCGTCTGTGCGCCTGTGCGTCTGTGTGTTTGTGTGTCTGTGTGTCTGTGCGCCTGTGAGTGTGTGTGCCTGTTCGTCTGTGAGTCTGTATGTCTGTGTGTCTGTGCGTCTGTGCATCTGTGCGTCTGTGCGCCTGTGCGTCCTTGCGTCCGTGCGTCTGTGCGTCTGTGCGCCTGTGTGACTGTGTGCCTGTGTGCCTGTGCGTCTGGGTGTCTGTGTATCTGTGTGTCTGCGTGTCTGGGAGTATGTGTGTCTGTGTGTCTGTGCGTCTGTGTGCCTGTGCGTCTGTGAGTCTGTGCGTCTGTGCGCCTGTGCGTCTGTGTGTCTGTGTGTCTGTGTGTCTGTGCGCCTGTGAGTCTGTGTGCCTGTTCGGCTGTGAGTCTGTATGTCTGTGTGTCTGTGCGTCTGCGCATCTGTGCGTCTTTGCGCCTGTGCGTCCTTGCGTCCGTGCGTCTGTGCGTCTGTGCGCCTGTGTGACTGTGTGCCTGTGTGCCTGTGCGTCTGTGTGTCTGTGTAGCTGCGTGTCTGCGTGTCTGTGTGTCCGTGTGTCTGTGTCCGTGCGTCTGTGTGCCTGTGCGTCTGTGAGTCTGTGCGTCTGTGCGCCTGTGCGTCTGTGCGCCTGTGCGTCTGTGTGTCTGTGTGCCTGTGCGTCTGTGTGCCTGTTCGGCTGTGAGTCTGTATGTCTGTGTGCCTGTGCGTCTGTGCATCTGTGCGTATGTGCGCCTGTGCGTCCGTGCGTCCGTGCGTCTGTGCGTCTGTGCGCCTGTGTGACTGTGTGCCTGTGTGCCTGTGCGTCTGTGTGTCTGTGTATCTGCGTGTCTGCGTGTCTGCGTGTCTGTGTGTCTGTGTGTCTGTGCGTCTGTGTGCCTGTGCGTCTGTGAGTCTGTGCGTATGTGCGCCTGTGCGTCTGTGTGTCTGTGTGTCTGTGTGTCTGTGCGCCTGTGAGTGTGTGTGCCTGTTCGGCTGTGAGTCTGTATGTCTGTGTGCCTCTGCGTCTGTGCATCTGTGCGTCTGTACACCTGTGCGTCTGTGTGTCTGTGCGTCTGTGCGTCTGTGCGCCTGTGTGACTGTGTGCCTGTGTGCCTGTGCGTCTGTGTGTCTGTGTAGCTGCGTGTCTGCGTGTCTGTGTGTCTGTGTCTGTGTGTCTGTGCGTCTGTGTGCCTGTGCGTCTGTGAGTCTGTGCGCCCGTGCGCCTGTGCGTCTGTGTGTCTGTGTGTCTGTGTGTCTGTGTGCCTGTGCGCCTGTGAGTCTGTGTATCTGTTCGGCTGTGAGCCTGTATGTCTGTGTGTCTGTGCGTCTGTGCGTCTGTGCGTCTGTGCGCCTGTGCGTCTGTGTGTCTGTGTGTCTGTGTGTCTGTGCGCCTGTGAGTCTGTGTGCCTGTTCGTCTGTGAGTCTGTATGCCTGTGTGTCTGTGCGTCTGTGCATCTGTGCGTCTGTGCGCCTGTGCGTCCTTGCGTCCGTGCGTCTGTGCGTCTGTGCGCCTGTGTGACTGTGTGCCTGTGTGCCTGTGCGTCTGTGTGTCTGTGTAGCTGCGTGTCTGCGTGTCTGTGTGTCTGTGTCTGTGTGTCTGTGCGTCTGTGTGCCTGTGCGTCTGTGAGTCTGTGCGCCCGTGCGCCTGTGTGTCTGTGTGTCTGTGCGTCTGTGCCTGTGCGCCTGTGAGTCTGTGTATCTGTTCGGCTGTGAGTCTGTATGTCTGTGTGCCTGTGCGTCTGTGCATCTGTGCGTCTGTGCGCCTGTGCGTCCTTGCGTCCGTGCGTCTGTGCGTCTGTGCGCCTGTGTGACGGTGTGCCTGTGTGCCTGTGCGTCTGGGTGTCTGTGTATCTGCGTATCTGCGTGTCTGTGTGTCTGTGTCTGTGTGTCTGTGCGTCTGTGTGCCTGTGCGTCTGTGCGTCTGTGCGTCTGTGCGCCTGTGCGTCTGTGTGTCTGTGCGTCTGTGCCTGTGCGCCTGTGAGTCTGTGTGCCTGTTCGGCTGTGAGTCTGTATGTCTGTGTGCCTGTGCGTCTGTGCATCTGTGCGTCTGTGCGCCTGTGCGTCCTTGCGTCCGTGCGTCTGTGCGTCTGTGCGCCTGTGTGACGGTGTGCCTGTGTGCCTGTGCGTCTGGGTGTCTGTGTATCTGCGTATCTGCGTGTCTGTGTGTCTGTGTCTGTGTGTCTGTGCGTCTGTGTGCCTGTGCGTCTGTGCGTCTGTGCGTCTGTGCGCCTGTGCGTCTGTGTGTCTGTGCGTCTGTGCCTGTGCGCCTGTGAGTCTGTGTATCTGTTCGGCTGTGAGTCTGTATGTCTGTGTGCCTGTGCGTCTGTGCATCTGTGCGTCTGTGCGCGCTGTGCGTCCTTGCGTCCGTCGTCTGTGCGTCTGTGCGCCTGTGTGACGGTGTGCCTGTGTGCCTGTGCGTCTGGGTGTCTGTGTATCTGCGTATCTGCGTGTCTGTGTGTCTGTGTCTGTGTGTCTGTGCGTCTGTGTGCCTGTGCGTCTGTGCGTCTGTGCGTCTGTGCGCCTGTGCGTCTGTGTGTCTGTGCGTCTGTGCCTGTGCGCCTGTGAGTCTGTGTGCCTGTTCGGCTGTGAGTCTGTATGTCTGTGTGCCTGTGCGTCTGTGCATATGTGCGTCTGTGCGCCTGTGCGTCCTTGCGTCCGTGCGTCTGTGCGTCTGTGCGCCTGTGTGACGGTGTGCCTGTGTGCCTGTGCGTCTGGGTGTCTGTGTATCTGCGTATCTGCGTGTCTGTGTGTCTGTGTCGGTGTGTCTGTGCGTCTGTGTGCCTGTGCGTCTGTGCGTCTGTGCGTCTGTGCGCCTGTGCGTCTGTGTGTCTGTGCGTCTGTGCCTGTGCGCCTGTGAGTCTGTGTATCTGTTCGGCTGTGAGTCTGTATGTCTGTGTGCCTGTGCGTCTGTGCATCTGTGCGTCTGTGCGCCTGTGCGTCCTTGCGTCCGTGCGTCTGTGCGTCTGTGCGCCTGTGTGACTGTGTGCCTGTGTGCCTGTGCGTCTGGGTGTCTTCTGTCTCTGTATCTGCGTGTCTGTGTGTCTGTGTGTGTCTGTGCGTCTGTGTGCCTGTGCGTCTGTGCGTCTGTGCGTCTGTGCGCCTGTGCGTCTGTGTGTCTGTGCGTCTGTGCCTGTGCGCCTGTGAGTCTGTGTATCTGTTCGGCTGTGAGTCTGTATGTCTGTGTGCCTGTGCGTCTGTGCATCTGTGCGTCTGTGCGCCTGTGCGTCCTTGCGTCCGTGCGTCTGTGCGTCGGTGCGCCTGTGTGACGGTGTGCCTGTGTGCCTGTGCGTCTGGGTGTCTGTGTATCTGCGTATCTGCGTGTCTGTGTGTCTGTGTGTGTCTGTGCGTCTGTGTGCCTGTGCGTCTGTGCGTCTGTGCGTCTGTGCGCCTGTGCGTCTGTGTGTCTGTGCGTCTGTGCCTGTGCGCCTGTGAGTCTGTGTATCTGTTCGGCTGTGAGTCTGTATGTCTGTGTGCCTGTGCGTCTGTGCATCTGTGCGTCTGTGCGCCTGTGCGTCCTTGCGTCCGTGCGTCTGTGCGTCTGTGCGCCTGTGTGACGGTGTGCCTGTGTGCCTGTGCGTCTGGGTGTCTGTGTATCTGCGTATCTGCGTGTCTGTGTGTCTGTGTGTGTCTGTGCGTCTGTGTGCCTGTGCGT